ATGAGCGAATGCACGTTTATGGGGCGCACTGATTAGCAACTGACAAACCCTACTTGTTTTCGGAAATGGTGCCATGAGCTGGTTATATGAATCACACAAGTGGCTACCAGATGCACTGGGGCGTTTTGGTTCGTTTTCAAACGTGATAGAAAATAACTTGGAGGATGTCGTACTGTTTGAGGGCAAAGGTAGAAGACCAACAGCTTGGAAGTTTCCTATGACCATGTAGAGGAGCAGTGACATAAAACAATCATGAGACACCGTATGTATATTTACTATATTGAAACTGAAGTCTGACGATAGCCTGCCTGACAGTTACACATCAGAGAGGATTATATCCAGCAACTCTGGTGTTTTCCCAGGTTTGTCGCCGTCGCATTCACTCCTTCCCTGTTTAAAAGTTGACCTTTTGCTTCCCACAGAACTCCCCTCCTGCTCCTGGACAGGTTCCTGTCGAGTCTGAACTCCACGGTTACGCCAAAGTATTGATCAGACTTGTTGGCTCACCCACACCGTGATTTGTATTACCCTACCGTTCGCTCTTGACGATAAACTGCGCACTTCGGATCGATGTGGGGTACTCAAAATCGGATAGCAAAACCATTCGAATTGTCCTATGGTCGATGTTATCCTGATGTACACATGATTGTGATCTAACTCGGGAACTTTTCGCTTTTGTCACCCTGTTATGTTTTCGGAGAATAACAATCAGATTACTGTAGACGCCTTCGACGTATCATCCTGCTACCACTAACTTTCGTTTGCATCCCACCATCAGTTTTTTCAATCTTGGTTAATTTCCGTTTTATTCTAATCCTTTGTTCTACTGGTTGTGGTCTACTCTCGGCCTTATCGGTTCGCTTTCGAGAGAGCCGGAACGCATACTTGCTGTTTACTTTGCCGAACCTGACCTCTCCTTTTAACCCAGCCATGTATTTTCTCGGGTACCGGTTCGGATCTTGTTCCCGTTGCAGCGTGTCATAACGCACTAGGCCGGGTCTCCTGTGCCATTGACCACTTTTTGTTTGATTGCAATATGTATACAATCCATCTCAAATTGTACTTGTTATTTTTCTTCGTTTATCTGTGTTGCTTTGAACCGCGCTTCTCACCATTTCCGCCGCCTTGCTAACCAATCAGTAATGCGTCAGGTGCATATTTCGTCTTGTACATCGAAATAGAGGGTTTTGGCCCGCTGAAGTCTTTTACCCGTTCCTGAAATATGTGGTCAGTTTATTCAGTCGCCCTTAAGTAAGCGGTGCTTGCACTTTCCGCTCTGTACCAGCCGTACAGAGGAAACCATTAGTTACTATATCCCATAAATGTGGCATTCGCATGCGTCCTGTTCACATTGAGCATGGAGCTTGTCGGGCGGTTCAGTAACGAAGCCAGAATCGACGTCATCTTGCACAAGTTACGCAGTTATGGGCAACCAGATAAATGTAATGGGCTTACCAGAAAACCTACCATGTCCCATGGAATTTATACACGTGCGCCAGTTAATCCATGTACCTTACAACTCACCGTGCATTTTTTACTTTCACAACAGGTGTATCTGTAAAACACCGGCATACGCGTTCTACTAACTGTGGGCGTCACACCTTTCCATGACACTGACCTGATGTTCGCATTTCTGGAATCGTTTTTGTAAATTGGTGCTATGCATGACTGCTCTTGTTTCCAGACACGAAAGTGATATGAAGTGAGCGAAACCTACGAGGTAACTGGCAAGCGTGCAGAAGCAATAAGAATTAACTCTGAACATTATCGCTTCGGATGAATTTTCGTCCGTCGTTTAATTCGCGCTTAGCATATACGGTGGCTGCCGGTATCATTCCCGGGTAGGAACTGCTCTGCCATCCCCGTAGGATGGCGGGATCACCAAGGGACTTCCCAGTTAATGCCCACTAATCACGTGAACTGGCCACAGTTGCACGTGTTCTAATTCCTATGTGAGAATTCAGTGCACATACATAAAATTTACCCAGCCAAATTCTCTGGAATTCAATGGCTTGTGCTGGAAGTAGCGAGGGAGAAGTTGTTTTAATATTTCGTTATGCATAATACGCAACACTTCTCAGATGAAGCAGCCTTTTACACTCAGTGCGCTGGAACGTTGTACCTGCACTGCTTTACTCGATGTTTATTTTCACAACAACTCGGCCGTCTATGTCGCAACGATAAGATTGTGTGGTTCTGATACAGGTCTTCCAATAAACTGGGATTCTTACAAACAAGACTTATCTTGCGGCTTTTTGAATGCAGACATATTTAGTCAGGTTTTCGATTGCCCTGTATGCTACGGTTCATACATTTACAGTTTACTAAATGAAAACTGACTAACCCTGATCTGCCTAACCTGAAATTTCCACTCTTCACAGTTCGACTGCGTAAGGACAATCAACTGGTACAGAGTTTTCGATATTTGCCGTACCTTCTATTCCGGACTCAGTTCACGGTAGAATAGCTTTGATCCTTATGTTTTTACACCCTAGCAGTGTGAGAATCGGACTTAGCCACGGTTCTCTAAAACAGTCTGGAAGAGGGAGAAGACAATGAACTAGCTGGATGGCGGAATGTGCTAGAATCCAGGCAGTGGCATCCGCTGCTACCTGTTTCCCGGATGTAAAGACACTGGCTTCGTCAGAATACTTTTCTTGCAACCATAATACGAGTTTGCTTGTGGTGCAGATAGCTTGGTTGCGTGCTGATTCGACAAACGTGATCTGTGGATTGAAAAACTTTGATTGGTTCTAGCTTACCGTTTTCCCAATTTCCTTGATGGAACGCGTGGTTTCATCACAAATGAAGGGATAACTGCATGTTGTCAACTGTAACAGCAGAACATATCTCTTCCAACGTTAGTCTTATCAGACAATGTAGATAGCACTGAGGGTCATCTAGGTTACGTGGCACTCCGTAGAGTCCATTGATGAAAGCAGTTGTTGGTAGAGGCCTGAAGACTAGCCGAATCGGCCATATAACTGTCACACCGTTCTGGTGGACTCTGATTTCATCAGTATTTGCCTAACATAGTTCCATCCCGTTCCGGAAAGGTTTAGAAAACAATCGATAGATTTATTGCTGGACAGTGTTTCGCTTTCGACACGAGAGCTTCGTCAGGTCAAGTGACTGGGTTACGAGGTTAGTCGAGATTTGAGGCAGAAGGAGAACCAATCAGTTAAGTCAAGCTGTTAGTTTGGGTTGTTTGTTAGGGTGGGTCAGCAGGTGTTTGTACCGATGGGGAACCTACATGGATATGGGTCCATCTTAGGGTCAAGTTCTTCCCGTTCGCTTCACGTGAAGAATCCTCTTGAACGTCATTCATGCTTTTTGTCCTCCGTGGATGAGCTAGTGCTACCACAGTTGTGTAAAGGGCAGGGTTGGGATTTCCACTCCAACTCGATTTACCCAAGGTCACTCTCAGTGCGCTCGCCAGTTTCGTACCCTCTTTTCTATTCCCACTGTGATGTTTGGTGACTTCCACCGCCTCAGCCATCAGCCACTGTAGTGTGAATCGCAGTCCTCGTCTCCAGATCTATTCTATGCCCTGTCTACGTACCACCACTGAATCTGTACTTAGCGCATGGTATCCATCCACGTTCCTGGGTTGTTTGTTTATCTTGTAGTTGTATGGTTGTTTGTCCTAGACCTTAGTGCAGTCGTTGCATTCTATTTTATACACACTGCTAGTTCTTTCAAACGGAAGGGGATCGTTTAGTCACACCAAGACTGAGTCGGGAGCCCTACTCGAATGTTGACAGTCTTCGAATAACCTCCAACGTTCATGTTTTATGTGGAATGGCTGCTTTGCCGATACACGTATTACTGGGTTTTGATACCGGAGTCAGTATCCTCCTTCCTAATCAAACTCACTGTGTATCCTATTTCATGAAGTCTGTTGGTAATCTCCATTTGAGCTGCTGTTTGGTTGACCTATTCTGTGCACAGCGCTATGACCCGACTAAGCATTGATGAGGCAATACTGGCGTACACTGGCTTTGGGTGTGCTGATGAGTAGTTCATAATAGTTATTCTGTCTGTTGGTTTCTGATAGGTCGTAGTTTTTAATTTTCCACCATTATGCGTCGTAGCGTCCAGGTAGGGTAGTGTACCCGAGGTGGACTCTATCTTCATGCTAAACTTGATATGAGGATTCAAACTACTGAGATAGTCGTGGAAACTGTTGGCTTCATCACGTCTGAGTACAACGAAGGCTTAGTCTACATAAAGCCAACAATAAATCTCCGGAAACGATTACTTCTCAGTCAGTCCCACGCGTTTTCCATCTCATTTGTATTTAAAATACGACTCAGTATTACACAAAACGCCAGTACGGCTACTTCTAGACAACACGTGACTCGTTCGTCGCACTAACTATGATGAATACACAACTCTGGTTGAGCAGCTCGTAGAAGAACTTTTCGAAACGCTTGTCTTTTTTCAAGAACGGCCTATCTATCACCTGGCAATTCACGCAGTGATGCAAGCAAGTAATCAATATACCGAAGACAGTCCGTCCTGAAGAAACTGAAACTTACTGTGGTGTGACGGTTTTTGTACCCCCTTGGGGTATACTGAGTGTGAGCGCAACACTCGCAGTCTCTAAACTTGACCCTTTAGGTTATGGGTCTGAATATAGGTTCAGATTCGTCCTTTCAAAATGTTAATTTACTTGCATTTCCTGCCAAACGCTGCTGCTTCGCAGTCAGACTTTGAGGACCGTAATCATCCTTATTTCTAGGTTTGAGTGCCCTGGCGGAGTCCCAGCCCAAGAACAACCACGAATTTTACGCCTACAAATAATCCTATGATAAATCGATCGGCGTCATCAGCCTTACTTGCTGCATACAGCACGGCCGGTAGGCCAAAACAGTCTGCTGCTGACATCTCCCTTTCTCTTTCAAAAGCTTTTCTTCCCTCCCCCTACCTCACTAATAACTCTCCATATAGGCCTGTCAGTTAGGATTGATGACTCCAAAATAATCCATATCGTTCAGCTGTAACACCCCTTCGGTACCCAGCTCTCATGCCACCCAAAGGAAGCACGAGGGATGGGATACTGCCAGGTTACCTAAGCCTAGACAGTAGAAGTCAATGTGGAGAGATCGGGGTCGAACCGCAGACCTTCCGGTCAGTAACCAATGAGCCGTCTCGCCCCGATTACCTTGTTCGTCCTGCATCGATTTTATGAGCAACATGTGCGCAACATCCTCAGGCGTCTCGAAATCAATCTTCGAGTCTCGACACCGTCTATCTGGCTGCTTTCAATGTTCGCACTCTGAAACAAGAAGCACAACAAGATGCTCTCGCACTCACACTAGACCCACTTGACTTTGATGTGTCCTGTGTCTCAGAAACATGCATTCAAAATGCAAGCTACACCGCCCTCATTATTATCCACTCGCTTTCAGCTTCGAACCTCAGGCTGCTGCGGCAGGTTATGCAGGAGTGGTCACCGTCCTAAATCACAGTGTGGAATGATTGCTGCCCGACTACCTACCAATTGGTAATCGCCTCTGTCTCGGAATCATATTGATTCCGAACACGCGGTCGCCCGGAGTCCACTTACCCTTCGATTTCTGGATAAGCGTATGGCGCGAACGAATAGCAACTCAGAGGCTGGCATTTCCAGATGTTGAGCGAGTTTACCACAATTGTGTTCTGGATTCCCCAACTGCCCCATCTTCAGATGTGAATCCGTGCTTGAACGAGATCGCAACTTTCTTGCACAGTGCTGTGAGTTCTGCCTGTGGCGCGGCATTACTAGGCCGACTCAAGCACTGGATATCAGACCGGAAAGTGGCACAGCTCAAATCTCTGAGAAATATCCCGACTGGTCCAGAACATAATTTGGCCTGACGTCAGGTGAAATTGAGCGTGCGCGCCGACCATGAAGCCTGTTAGACTGGAAATACTAAGGAAATGGAAGTGGATTTTCGAAGATTACTTCAGTTAATCTGTGGGACCGGCCCTCAAAAACGCCTATGAGCGAAACCATCATGGATCAAAGTAGTGCGGCCATCTCCAAGGCTCGGGTCGCGTTTGCTGATCTGAGACAACTATAGCGTCAAAGCTGTATTTCACTGAATCCCGAAGGGTATGTGTTTCAGGCTAGCGTGCGGGCTGTGTGATGGCCTGTTCGGGCAGTGGAACTGAGATGTGCGCAGTTCTTCAACAATCATTATCTCAATCGTGGTGTGGCTAATCCGTACCTGGGCAAATAGAATGCGAGTGTTCGGTTGTTCATCGGGGACTTTTGTCGAAGGTGTCCGTCGACCAGGCCATGTGCCGAACCATCGTTTTCCGTGCCCAATTCAGAGTGGCGGAAACAGAGAGGTGGTCAGCCGTTGATCTGGTGAAGGTGTGTTGATGAGATTACGTAGAGTCTAGGCGCTGTCGGTGGGGGCCTCTTGATCCCCACTGTGCGTGATTGGATACAGTGCAAGATATGGCTCCTAATAGATGTGAATGGCGTTCTTGTCACTCTCTATCCAGTTTGTGTTTCTATCCAGATTCGTGCTTGGCCCTTGGGAGTGATTGTGGTAAGATAGCAGTAAATCCCTTGTCAGTCACTCATTCTTTTCTTTACAATGAGGCTTTCAAATAAATCATGCTTGTATGGCAGCGAGGCATCAGTGGCGGTCGCTGGTGTTCTGTCGATGATGGTGATGGTGACAGAAGAGAGTACCTCTCTGCCCAATCCAGTTGCAGAAAATTTCTAAGCTTATTTAGGAATACCAGGCTTAGGTTGGTTTTCGCTGAGCATTGTATTCGTCCACCTCCTATCAGCCGGGGTATTCCCAACAGAGCCGTGACAACCTACTTCAGCTGGGTGGACTGGGTTGGTGCAGCACGCTTGATTATTCTTCTAGTTTGAATAGGCTTCTAAAGTGATAAAATCCGCTTCAGAGTATCGAGTACAGTACAGTCACCTGGGTAACATCAGCGGTGTTTCGATAAACTTGGAGAATCAGGCCACAATAATTCGGATATCCATGGGAAGCGTTTTTCGACTTCGTTTGGAATGATTGGCCCGTGGAACTGAAACCACTCCTGTCCTTGTAAGACGTATTGCAACATGAGGTGTCTCTGTCAGTTCGGAACACTATTCGACGAGTGGGTTCCGCGAACTGGAGTAGCAGCTCCTACGTGTTGAAGTTTCAAGCATTCCTTCCATTTATTTTCCCAACATCACAAATTGTCAACAAATCGATGGGATGTATCAGGTCAGTCCTCGCGGTTCACCTGTCAATAACATATCTAAGCGTTGAGTTCGGCAAAATCTTTTGTCACACTCCTAGCAGGTGCCGACATCTCACAATAAAGAGAAAGGGTCCTTTGGTTTGAGAAATCCGCATTTATTCGTATCATAGAACCGTTTCCGGGTCAGTAAAATAGAACTTTTGACACCTGCTTGAGAAACACACGTGCGCTAAAATGATCACTCCATAAAATTGAAAACAGTAACACCTTCCGTTTATGTTGTCAGTTTCTATCCAGATTGCCTGAGTGAATGTTTGGAGATATAGGCACCTCGGAATGCTTGCAACAGGTCAGCACCAGACCCCCTACCCCATTCACTCTTCTTTTTTCATTTTAAAGTTTTAAAACTAATAAACTAGATAAACTTAGTGAAGTAGTAGTTGAACACTGATGTCATGCTGTCGATGATGATGATGACGCTATACTCTGATGAATGCCATCAGTTCATCTGCCGACAGCCATACTGCAACAGAAAGGTGTGAAATGATGTCATTAATGAGCACTTCAGATATCCAATCGGGTGCTTGTTCTGTTGCCATGTTTTATTCAATCTAAGATCAATTAGAATCGGATATTCGGCCGATCGTTGCGCTTGGATTTCTTTCCCAATCAAATCCACTTCGAAAGTTGAGATGATCTGGAAACTCCTATCGTATTCTAGACTTTCTCTCCTGCCGATGACACTTCATTACACGAGTCGACCCGCTGAAGCCTGAGGGGCATCGATCTTTCCAAGGAATTAGTCCAGATGCTAGCTAGTCCAGATCTCAGCAGGTCAGTCATCCACATAACAGGCTACTAGCGCAGCTATGCGAGCCATCGTATTGACCCACCGATACCTTGGCCCCTGCAGTTTTCAGCTGGTCACTACGAACCCAGGACAGAACTGGTCAGTGAATGATTATCCACACCTAGGTGACACACTCCTCAACCGGTCACTTGCGTTGTTGGTTTTCGCATTTCATACCTTAGGGTTCTTGTTGGGAATACGATTCTAAGGCGATAATGTTGTTTCACACCACTCATTAGTCGTTCAATCGAATGGAATGAAATATGCAGCGTGTAAGTACAACTGCTTTTTGTTGAAGTCAAAACAGTACAAGTATCCAACTTCTGGCGTAAAAGCTACAAAGGTCCGAGAGCACCACCATTTCTCTTTGACGATTTCGGGAGTTTCATTGCTGCTACTAGTGTAACGGTGGCACTACTGATGGGGAGGCACGCGAGTAGTGTGTTGTTTGTAGAATTTCGCTTTGCGTCTTTTGAAAAGGGGAGATCTGTTGCGGAATTCGTGGAGTCACTTTGTAACATTTGCTCGGATTTGACCGAGGAATTATTGGAGTCAATGAATATCCAGGAAATTCCAAGAAGACGCGCTCGGGAGAAGATGGGTGTCCAGTATTTGTAAATAAGATGCAAATTAGAGTTTTGTTCTCCTGTTCAATGATCTGTAACCGGTCAGTTGGCATTTCCTAATATCTCCGCAGCGAAAGCCTTCTTCCTTTCACTAGTATGTCGCATTGTTGTAACGTTAACCCACTTCTGGGGTAGTTTTATCAAAGCGATCAACTGGAGCCGTCATATAGTTTGATGTCTCGATTTTGCGGGTGTCGGAAACAAGGGCCTTTGAATACCAGTCATTTTATGTTGAAATCGTTCAGCGTTCCGCTGAGATAAGCTGGAGTCAGGGGTCTATATTGTCTAAAGCGAAGTTGAAAAAGTTTACTTTTTCATAATAAAATCTGGGAGCTTGTTTGTTCGAGCATTTATGATAGAGCTGTCAAGATATGTGCAAATCTTCGTATCAGGTCTTTCATATGGAGTTGACGGGTGTTCTTTCCGTGGTCTGAGGAGTTGAGCAACAATATGAACGTATTCATATTAGGCTTTTGGCATACTCCGTCCGATTTTTTGGGGGCTGTGTTCAGTCTGGAAAAACGTGCCAAACTGCATCATTTAATTTGCATTTTCGGGGGACACTATACGGAAGTGTATGTGATCATACCAGATCTCCACGTGGGTAGATGTAAGCTCATCGGTGGAATGTGCCGCGGACTGCAAGCTGAAATATCGATCTTATAGGACGCTATGGTTCACCACGTTTGATGGGTGGTAAATGGGAGTTAAACGAAAATAAATGACGATATTGTTAACAAGATGTAGCGAACCGCCAAACACGATGTTGTGTCATGTCGGTGGTTGACCATCATTGAAATTAATCTAGCGCTACGGGTAGGCAGGATAAATGATCTCCACTAAGATGATGGCGTCCGAGTGTCGCTGGCATGACCAATCTATCACTAATGTGTATTTCTTCACGAGACTTTGTATTCTATCGATTGGAGCCAGTGTGCATAGTTTTGTTTCCGTTTTTCGGTTATTCTATTCATGGGACGCTTGATAAGAATATACGGAATCTGCATCGATTCTCCATTTGATGAAACGACTACGCGACTGATGTGTACCGTTTTTGAGTGCTTTCTTATCACTGACGCTGAGATGTAAGAGTATTTCCTGTACTCGCCCCCCTCTTTAAATGGTATAACACCCCTTGGAACGAATGTAATTTGAGCCTACCCAGTACGGATGATCGTATACCTGCACCAAACTGTCAAGGATGGATTGCCCGGGAAAAGTGAAGGATGGTAGCGCCATTCAGATTTAACGCAGACAAAAGTCGTGCGATGAATAATGGCACAACCACCAACCCACCGCTACACACCACTACGCTCCCCAATAACGCACTGATGATGTCACCTCGGTTGGTGAGGTGAGGGTGGGGAAACGGAGGCCAGAAATATGCACTGCCCTCGGCAAATGTCAGACCTCAAAGATACGGCATCAAAGGGATCGGTGCGCAGAATTGAGTCACGGTGGTAAGATTCTTACTAGCATGACAGTGCTTGTTTGTACGGCGCTCAAGATGGCAAAACCCCTGATGCTCCCCAAGCCTCCAGAATGCAACATGGAAAACACATCGGTGAGCGCGAACTGTGGGCCCCAAAGTACAATAGCCTCTGCCCTGAAGATTACTGAAATGTACTGCACAATTTCACACAAACCGAACAGACCAATATGCAAAATCCAATGAAGTGGACGGGATAGTGAGCGTTCGGGTGAGCTGTATCCTCCGGGCTACTGATATCCAAATCTAAGTAACCTAAAATTTTACTAGGCAACCTTTGTATATTGGTAGTACATGAATTCTTTCATCACCAGAGTCCACCCGACAGCACTTTGCTTTTTCAGTGTTTCAGACCTTGGGGTATCCGGCCGTGAAATGTCTGGGAATTAACGAGTTATTCAGTCGCTGGATGCGTCCGATGATAGAAGGTCAATTGATTGCTAATTTACAAACTGGAGTACACTGCCCACTGATGACCACGGGAACCTCAGAGTGGGAGGCCGGGGGGGGGAAGGTAACAGAAACGGATCACTTAACTGGTGGTGGCCAGTGAACGGGACCTTGCAACTTTTACCAACTTTAACAGAAAGTACATGTCAATAAAGCTCCATACCATGTCTGTCCTTAAGGATTAGAAATCTGTGTAAGGATCGAATCACCATGTGTTTGGCAAAGCTCGGGCGCATGTGTC